GATAGGTTAGGTTCTATGAGGGACTTTAAACGGTTTGTGAAAAAAGTATGTTATCTCTAAGTCCCATTTTATAAAAAACTCTATGAAGCCCCTTCATAGGCATTCATATTACAAGAAGATGTTTTGAGTTGAATTTTCTGGAAGCCCAGGATCAAAGATCTTTAAGGTAGCTTTTTAAGCTTTCTAATTACTTTCTTTTCATGCTGAATTACTCTATCTCCTTGTCCTGGGCAGCAGCCAGAATCATAAGTTTAGAAGTTGAAATGGCGTGCTGCTGTCTATATACAATTCTCCAGCTATTTTTAGTATTTAAAAATGTCTTTAGCTCCTTTAAGTTCCGCAAGGAATTCCTTAATGTCACAGAATGCTTAAGACTTGTTTCCTGGCTTTAACTTACTGTTATTTTTTATGTGTGAAATAGCTTCAACCTATAGCATTGTTTGGGTTTTGTCTCTACATGTGTCATACTTCTTTAAACACTATAAGTTGTTAGCTTATTCACTTAGACATAGAGTTTTAATACATTAATTGACCCAGTACGTGGGAAAGAGTTTCCAACAGTAAGTTCTGTAACCCCTGACTGAATAAGATATTCTCTGAGCCCTAGAATACTCATTTTAAAATAATTTTTCTTTGGTGCTAATTTTTCACACATAAAAATTTAGAAAAAATTAGAAACCTAGCACAGTTTTCATATGTGGATATAGCAAAGCTCCCTCATGAACATTGTATATGACTAGTTGTATGAGTGTGAGGCTGACTGAGCCAGGCAGTATTTCATTCTGTTGTTACACAGAACGTCTCGGTGAGTTACGGCTGACTGTGCAGCACCAAACAACTAGTAGTACAATTGTCAGAGGAAATCCGTATTGGTACCAGAACCAGTGACCCAAGGGGGACCTTACTGGAATTTTACTATTGTCGGGGTTGGAATTGACTCAATTTCAGTGAATTATTTTTATCACCCTTATTTTTGATTATTGTTGTTCCAGGATCCCATCTGGGACTTCACATTATATTTAATTGCTATTTCACCTTAGTCTCATGCCATCTAGAATGGTTGATTCGTTTTTTCTTGTTTGTCATGAGTTGGACGTTTTAAAAGAATACAGATCACTTTAAAAGTATTTTGTTTTGTTTTAACTCAAATGTCCTGTTCCCCCCCCCCAAAAAAAAACCCCCACAAATATTCTTTAATTTACTTTTAACTGGAGTGTCCACATGATTGGACTGAAATATTTGGGCAGGAATACCACAGAAGTTATGTATGTCTGAGTGCTTCTTTGACATGGTTCGTGATGTTGATGTGTTTTGGTACTGGTGATGTTGGCCTTGACTATTTGGTTAATGTGATTTCTGCTAGATTTCTCCATTGTATAGCCTCTTCATTCCTAGGGTTAACAATGGACTCTGGGGAGTTATTTGGAGACTGCAAATTGTGTTGCTCCATCAACCTACTGAGTTAGCATCTATGAGTGGATCTCTTCTGTAACAGCTTGTTACTCTGGTACTTGACTGCTAGTGCGCACGCGCGCGCACACACACACCTCTAAAATATTAATTGATTGTGCTTTATGTTAGACTGGCCTCTCTAGAGAAACAAAAGCAGTGATGCATACACAAGCGGGCAGTGGTGAGGGACAGAAAGGTATCTGCGTACACCTAACTATCAAACCACTGAAAATCCTTGGCAAGCCAAGTTGACATACAACCCCAGCTATCGTAGTTCTATTTAAGGAAGAAATCCCTTCAATCAATAAGATTATATCATGGGTTAAAAAAAAAAAGATTATATCATGGAAAATTTACAGATTTTTATTTTATTCTGTGGACTATAATTTAATGCTGTCATTATTTGTTTTGTTACTCAAATGATTTAATCTTTAGCCATTAGAAACTACTTGGGGTTGGTCCCCTCATTCTTTTTGACACACCTTCATCTTCTTTTAAAATCTTATTTTCTGGCTTTACAAATTATTCCAGGCTCATCTTTAATTTTTCCTGCTCTGTGTTGAAATCAGCCATTCTCCAAGAAGCCCTAGGTCCTTTTGTTGGATAATGATATTTGGAAACTAGCTTTTTTTCTCTGTGGATAGGGATTAGAAAATAAATGTATGTATACTAACTTGTACGTGTATTCAGCCATCTGTCCAGCCATTCATTATGAGGCTTGGTGGATAATTTGATTGGATCCAGTGAAATACCACAAGGTTCATTTTATTCTTGCTTCTTATTCCTAATTAGTCAAAACTGCCTATGTGAATTCTATCGTACAACTGGGGGAGTTGGTTGTATTACTGTTAAGTGTGTTTGTTATTTGTTAGTGTAGGCGTTTTATATTCTTGCTCCCTCCTTTGTGTATGTGTGTTTGTAGAAGCAGGAATGGAGAATCTGTTGGCTGTGTTTCTAATTGAAATCTTTGCTGTGTTTTTAATCGTCAGGTTGATTTCAAAAGATAGAGCCTTCAATCCTGTCACCGTGTTTCCATTCCCCATTTCTGTTGTTCTCTCTCCCATTCACGTCCTATTGGTAACTAAGCTGTTTATTTTCTAGTTTATCCTAACTTTATTTTATTTACTGTTAGCCTCATATCAAATTTTATTGTCATAGACTGATTTACATAGTACATGTTTAGGACTTAATGTTTGACTAACTTGTGGTTTCCATCTCTTCTTTAAAATAGTTTTATTGACACTTAATCTACACATCACACATTTCTATAGTTCAGTCATATCAAGAAAAGCTGTACAATCATCACCACACCACCCCATGGTTAAATAATTTTTAATATGAATTGTGTAATCACTATCAGTTCTAGTGAGTGCTCCCTTTCACATACATTATTTGTTTCCACCACCCCCTCACTCTCCCTGTCACCCACCCCAACCCCACCACCCTTATAAACCCTTGCATCAGTTCTTATCTCTATGCCTCTACTCCTTGTTTGCTTCGCAAACTGGAAAACCCAACAGAAACGATAAGAAAACCAAACAGAACTATCCGTGTCTCCTTAGAAATGGAGGTGCTCCTCTCCCCTAGTCTTGGCTTGATTTTTCAGGTCCTTATAGTAGTGGACTCATACAATCCTTTTGCGATGGACTTACTTCAGTCTGTATAAGGGCTTCCAGGTTCTTTCATGCCATGTGGTGTGTCATGCTTTCATCATTATTTTTTTTAGGGATGCATATTATTCTGTTGTGCGTATGTACCATAGTTTATCCATTCTTCCACTGTTGGGCATTAGAGCTGCTTGCTGTTGTGAACTGTACTGCTATTAGCATGGGTGAGCATACCCCAACTTGTGTTGTGTCTCTTATTTCCTCAGGGTATATGCCTAGTAGTGGTATTGCTGGATCATATGGGATTTCAATTCCCAGTTGCTTTAAGTATCACCATATTGTTATCCACAGTGGCTATATGTATTTAAAAGTCCACCAACAGTGTATACGAATTCCAATCTTTCCACATCCTCTCCAATATTTGTTTGCTGTTTTTTAAAATTTGGGTTAGCAATATAGATGTAAAGTGGTATCTTACAGTGATTTTAATCTGCATCTCCCTGATGGCTAGGGATTGTGGGCATTTTTTCATTTGTTTATTAGCCATTTGCACTTCATTTTTGGTGAATTGTCTGTTCATATCTTTTTCCCATTCATTGGGCCCCTTGTTATATTTTCTTATTGAGCTGTTTTAGAGTTCTGTACATTTTGGTAATTAGCCCTTTGTCCAGTGTGTTGTTGGTAAATTTCCCCCCAATCGGCGTGCTCTCACTTCACTCTCATTAGGTAGACCTTTAATGTGCGTAAGTGATTTTATTTCGGCATGTCCCAATCATCTAATCATCTATCTTGTCTTCTGCTGTGTGTGTGCCTCCTGTATCACACGTTGTAGTCGATGTGTGCCCTGAAGTAGGGCCCTTCAGTTTGTTCCAGCCTTCGCATCTGTATTAGTCTAGGTACTTTAGAGAAACAAATCCACAGCAACTCATGTATAAGAGAGTTTTATGTAAAGAAAGTGTGCATCACGAAAACATCCCAACCCAATGCTGCCCAAGCCCACAAGTCCAACATTAACCCATGAACCCAACACCAGTCCACAAAGTCCTCCACCTCACAAAACAGAGGCAATGATGCTGACTGCAGGAGGAAAGCTGAGTCAGTGAATGAATAAGCATCTCAGCACTAGCAGGGGTCTCCACAAGGCTGCTCCAGCACCCAGGGCTGCATCGGGATAGGTCCATGTAACTTCTCCTTGGGGATGTCTTGCAGGAAGTCAATCTTGCAAGCTGAAGCAGGGAACTGCTAAGGCAGCTGCACCCTTGTCTGACCATCACAAAGCAAGAGACCCGAGAACTAGAAAGGCGAGGCTCACCACCCATTTATCCCTCCGCCTTTCAATTAGCCCCACCTGTGATTATGGGCCAGGTTGGCACAATTAACTAACTCAGCATCGATGTTCCTGAGAGCTTTGTGGTTTACAGTTAGGTCTTTATTTCATCTTGAGTTCATTTTTGTTCATGGGAAAGGTATGAATTGTATGAAGAAGAATGCAGCATCAAGATCAGTACAAGGCTTAATAACAAACTACAATATGCAGATGACACAGCTTTGCTTGCTGAAACTGAGCAGGACTTGAAGGACTAGCTGAAGATCAAAGATTGTAGCCTTCAGTATGGATTATGACTCAATGTAAAGAAATACCAAATCCTCACAACTGAACCATCATGATAAATGGAGAAAAGATTGAAGTTGTTGTGGACTGGTTTGTTTTACTTAGATCCATAATCAGTGCTCACAGAAGCAGCAGTCAAGAGATCAAGAAGCATTGCATTAGGTAAATATGCTACACAAGGTCTTTTTAAAGTATTGAGAAGCATGGAAATTAACTTTGAGCACTAAGGTGTGCCTTACCCAGGCCTTGCTATTTTCCATTGCTTCATATGTAGGAGAAATTTGGATATTGAGTAAGAAAGACTAAAAATTTATGCATTTTCGTTTCAGTTGTAGTGATGGAAAAGAATCTTGAATGTACAGAAGAACAAGCATCTGTCTTTGAAGAAGTGTAGGGAAAATGATTTTTAGAGGCAAGGAAGGAGAAACGTTGTCTCATGTTCTTTGGACATGTTTCACGAGAGACTCTTCTTTGGAAGAGAACATCATGTTTCCTAAAGTATGGGACAGTGAAAATGAGAAACGCTGTCACTAAGATAGATCAACACTGGTTACAGCATAGGAATAATTCATTGCGAGGCTGGCGCAGGACTGGGCTGTACTGTGTATTGATGTTCACGGTGAGGTGGAGCTGACTTGATGGCACCCCCACACCAAGATTGAGCAAGTCCTATTATTTGGGGAAATACAAACTAACATGTTTTTAAAACAATAAATTGACATGTTTTTTAAGCAATGAACAATGGCATGCATTTAAAACAATTAACTGCACTAAAACACAGCAATAGAAATAAAATAGTTTTAAAATAAAATAAATAAAACATAGTTACAGTAGTTAGATCCCCAGTTTAAACTTGAAAAAGAACTACAAATTAAAAGAAAGCAGAGGGCTTCGACAAGTTTTAGGGAAAATCCTGTTATCTCTTTTTAAAAATTTATTCTTTTAAAAAATTTTATTGGGGGCTTGTATAACTCTTATCATAATCCATACATACATCAATTATGTCAAGCACATTTGTATATTTGTTGCGATCATCATTCTCAAAACATTTGCTTTCTACTTGAGCCCTTGGTACCAGCTCCTCCTTTTCCCTCCCTCTCCACTCCTCCCTTCCTCCTAAACCCTTGATAATTTATAACTTATTATTATTTTGTCATGTCTTACACTGTCCAATGTCTCCCTTCACCCATTTTTCTGTTATCTATCCTCCAGGGAGAAGGTTATATATAGATCCTTGTAATCTGTTCCCCCTTTCAGCTGCACCTTCCCAGTATCTCCACTCTCAGCACTGGTCCTGAAGGGATCATCCATCCTGGATTACCTGTGTTTCCAGTTCCTATCTGTACCAGTGTACATCCTCTGGTCTAGCCAGATTTGTAAGATAGAATTGAATCCCGTTATCTCTTAATTACAATTTTTCAGGAGCGTTTTAATTGTCCCTATGTATATTATGACCAAGCGAAATTTATTTCAGGAATATTATTAGGAGCTGTCAAGTTGGTTCTGACTCACATAGACCCTAAGCACAACAGAAAAAAAACACTGCCCAGTCCTGTACTATTTGTATAGTTTTTATGCTTGATCCCATGTTGTAGCCACTGTATCAATACATCGTGTCAAAGATGTTTTGTTTTTCACTGCTCCTGCATTTTAGCAATGTGTTTCACCTCTTTAATGTCTAGGATATTGGTCCTTATGTGTAGCTTTTCATTTCTGATGACTTTTTTCCACTTTGTGTATTATATATTCTGATTATTCATGGATGTGTGCAACCATGTCCTCTCATTTTGAGTTCTGCTCCGTTAGCAAGGGAAAGCCCCGGTGTTTGGCTGCATCTCTGTCATGAAGTTGACTTTGCTCTGAGGAGGCAGCTTTTGTCTAGCCGTGTTTGGAGTGCCTTCTAACCTGCGGGACTCTAATCCGGTCCCTATGCCAGTAACCGTTTCTGGTCCCTATGCCAGTAACCGTTTCTCTGCTCATCAGAAGATTTTAAGTTGATAATTTTCAAGAAGTTGACTGCCAAGACAGGAGGGCACACTGACAGATGAATGGGACTCAATAGTGTTGGGGCAAGGCCATTAGGTTGAAGCCAGGGATGCTACAATACACTGGGCAACTCCTCATATTAATTCTTTCTTTTTTTTTTT